AAACCGAGGTCCAGAGAAATAAAGTGACTTGCTCAGGGTCAAACAGGATAAGTGGCTGAACTAGGATTTCTGCATAGGTGGTTGGGTAAACTCCTACTCATCTCTCAAAACCCCAGTTCTAATACCTTTGTTTCCATTTTTCTAACCACATTATATGGCCCCTCTAACAACAAAAACAACAATAATAACATTAACACCTGGGAATGTATGCTATTGCATTTACTTAGTGCAGGCATGTGTATTTAGTACTTTCCTTACATTCAATTTTCCCACAGTCCCTGAAAAAAGTGTGTTTTTATTTCTGTTTTTTGTTTTTAAGACAGAGCTTTTTGTTTCTGTTGGCTTTTTGTTTTTATTAGAGACAAAGTCTTGCTTTGTCTACCAAGGTAGAGTGCAGCCATGAAATCACAGCTTACTATAGCCTCCAACTTCTGGGCTCAAGCAATTGAGTAGCTGGGACTACAGGCACATGTCACCATATCCTGCTAATGTTTTTAGTTTTTGTAGAGATGGGAGTCTCACTACATAGCTCAGGCTAGTCTCTAACTTCTGGCCCCAAGTGATCCTCCTGCCTCAGTCTCCAAAAGTGCTAAGATTATAGGCATGAGCTACCACACCTGACCTAAGATTTTTTTTTTTTTTTAGACAGAGCCTTAAGCTGTCACCCTGGGTAGAGTACTGTGGCATCACAGCTCACAGCAACCTCCAACTCCTGGGCTGAAGCGATTCTCCTGCCTCTGCCTCCCTAGTAGCTGGGACTACAGGTGCCTGCCACAATGTTGGGCTATTTTTTGGTTGCAGCTGTCATTGTTGTCTGGCGGGCCTGGGCTGGATTCAAACCTGCCAGCTCAGGTGTATGTGGCTAGCACCTTAGGGGTTTGAGCCACAGGCGCTGAACCAAGGGTTTTTTTTTTGTTTTTGTTTTTTTTTGAGACAGTGTCACTGTGTTGCCCTGGGTAGAGTGTCATGGTGTCACAGCTTACAGCAACCTCCAATTCTTGGGCTAAAGTGATTCTCTTGCCTCAGCCTCCCAAGTAGCCAGGACTACAGGTGCCTGCTACAATGCCCAGCTATTTTTGTTGTTTTTGCAATTGTTGTTGTTTAGCAGGCCCTGGCTCAGGCTGAACCCACCTGCCTTAGTGTATGTGGCTGGCACTTTACACTGAACTACAGGCGCTGAGTCCTGACCTAAGATGTTATTATCAGCTCTGTTTTCTACATGGAGAAACAGAGGATCAGAGAAGTTAAGGGACTTGCTTAAGGTCACACAGCAAATAAGCAGCTGAGCTGGGGCTTGAACCGGGGTCTGATTCCAAAGTTGTTCTCTCCATGACTGCATAGCCACCACTTGGGAGTCTCCTGGCTTTTGTAATAAGTAGTCCTGAGAGGAGGAGGAGCCAGAGACTGCATTCTGCCTGCTGAGAGAACAGGCATACTGAGGCACAGGGAGGTAAGAGATCTCAAAGATGGACAGTCCAGCAGACCCAGCAAGTGAAAGGCCCCGATGGCAGGAAGCCCAGAGTGCCAGGCTAGGTTCTACCCCCAACACATTAACCTGACAATTCTTGAGCACCTACTGTGTGTCAGGGCCTGTGCTGGGGGTCAGGAACTTAGTGGTAACCAAGGCCAATCTGTGCCCTGCCCTCAACAAGCTCATCGTCCAGAGGGGGAGACATAATTAATATGAAATAAATACAGTAATTTAAATTTCAAACTAAATTGCAATTTAGTAGTAAAACACCACCACAATAAACAAGATGAAGCCATGGGCACTGGGAACTGCTTCTAGATTGGGGGGGTCAAGGAGGGCTTCTCACAGGAGGTAGCATTTGAGCTAAGACCTGAAGGTTAAGGAAGAAGTCACCAAGTGAAGATCTATAAAGAGTGTTCTAGATGGAGGGAACTGCAAGTTCAAAGGCAGGACTGTGCTTGTTCAAAGTGACTAGCATGGCTGGAGCAACAGGAGCTAGGGGTCAGTGCAGAGAATATGAGGTAGGAGGGAATGAGGGCCCCATGGACCTCAGAGCCCTCATGGTCAGCCCCACCCTCATCCCTACCCATCCCCTACCAGTGCCTGTAGCCCTCAATTCCTGCACCCACCACCTGGGAAGCAGGGCTGGGGACTGTGTGTGGTGCACAAGGTGGGCCACCAGCTTTGCAGACCTCTACAGTCAGCCCATAAAGTTTCCATCTTGACCATACCAGCTAGTGCCTGGCCTGGGGCTGGCCTCCAGGCATCTGGAGCTGGCAGGTGGGGGGAGTCCCCCGCAGTGGGATGACAGGATCAGCCTAATGAGATCTGGCATAGCTAAGCAGCTGGTGAAGGGCCTGGGCAGGTGGCTTGAGAGACACGGGCTTCCAGGAGCGGCCAGTAGGACAACACAAGATGATGGCCACCTGACAGAGAGAGAAATTGAGGCACAGACCCCAGCAGAGGCAGAAGACTGGGAAACACCCCTCAGTTTCCCGGGAGCCCTCTTTTACATCTCTTCAAATTCAGCTTTGCCTTGGTGCCTGACACACTGTGCTATTTAGTCACTAATGGTGCCCTCTCTCTAAGCCTCAGTTTCCCCACTTGGGAAGTGGGGGCTACATACTGCAAGCTGGGCCCACTGTCTAATTCTTCCCAGGGCCCAGCCAAAGCCTGACTTCATTTGGATTTGGGGGGAAGACCCCTCTGTTCCAACATCATTGTCTCCCTGAGACCCATCCTGAACATCCCTGCCAAAGAGGCCCTATTCATGGGTGCTGCCCACTCAAGCTTCTTCAGGGTCATTACCACCTCTGCAGGCACAAGGCTGATTTGGGAGCCTATTGTCCATTGCCCTACCCCTACCCCCTCTTCCAAGTGCAGCAACACCAGGCCCATCTTGTCCTCCACTTCATCCTAGCTCAGAGCTTGGCACACTGTAACTTAATGCTTAGCAAATATATAGGGCATGGAAGAACAATTCCTCTGCCTGGCCCGCCCTCAGTTTTCTTGTCTGCAAAATGGGTCACCTACTGGGGCCTCCCTGGCTCTCAGAAGGTGCTCACTGGGCAGAATGGGAAGACCCTCCACCCCCACCCCCATTCACTAATCTCCCCTCACAGGCCTGAGCCCTGAAAGCCTCTGCTCTACCTTGGAGGACCAGGATGATGCATCTGCAAGTGTAATCCACAGCCCTGCAGCAAAGGCAGCCTTTCTGGCCCAGTGTCTCCACATGCATTTAGGGCTTATTCCTCTTTACTTTGTGTATTTGTCCCCTATCTCTAGGGATCTGTCTTTCCTTTGTCAACCTTCCAGAACAGTGTCTCTCTTTCTCTCCCACACTTACCAAGGCACCTTGACTATTCCAAAACTAGCTATGCTATTTCCTGCCTCCAGATCTTTGTAGGCACATTTCCTACCACGTGGAATGCCCTTTGTTTTCTGCTTAGAAAACTCCTACTCATCCTTCAGAGCCCCAGCTCCAAAGTCCCTCCTCTAGGAAGTCTTTCCTGACTTCCTACTCTAGGCTTCACCAACCCTGTGTCTAAGTCTATTTCCCTTGAAGCATGGCCTAACAGCCCTGACACTAGTCAGCCATGCTGTTGTTGACAAACACTCCTTGAAACAATTTCTTGATTGTGTTCCTGTGTGTAACTATAGCAAACTTTTCCATCCCTTCTGCTCAACTCTTGAAAGCTATATCCTCTGTTTGCTCCCTGAAAATAAGTGCTGATGGTGGAATTTCAGACACCACCCCCAGTTGAAGAAGATATTTTGTTTACCTCTCTGCCACCCCCTCCAACAAGCTCTTGGCTTTAAAGCCCCTCAGCTTCAGAGCCCCCAAAACCAAACCACAGGAGTTGTTAAGATGAAGGGTGTGTGGATGGCTGTCCAAAGGGCCCTGGGGCAAGAAGCTGGGGGTGGGGAGAAGCTGGCAAGGCAGGGATTCTGCCCCTGGCTTCTTTAGCCCCCAGCACTAGAAAACAGACAAAGAGGGTCAGGGAACACAGACAAGGATGCTGGGTAGGGAGCGGGCAGGGCAGATAGGCAGGAGCAAGGACAGTCTTTCTTTCTGCATCCCCCTTTCCTCAGGCTCCGCTCTGCAGATCTAGGTGGACAACCAGCACTGCAGGTACCCTCAGGCCTGTGGAGCCCTGCAGATGCTTCCTGGAGAAGTGACAGCAGTGGCACCTACCTTGGGGCAAGGCCATCTCTCTCTTTAGTCCCCCCTCCCTTCTGTCCACTTTCTGTACCCTTCTGTCCACTTTCTGTAGCACCCCTGGGCCTAATGACTTTTAACCCACAAACCACCCCCTGGGACAATTTTGAGACTATTCCCAGCAGGGGATACCCTTTTAAAAAAGCAGAAACGGAAAGCACAGCCTCCTACTCCCCATCCCCAAATCCAAGATTTGCCCTTAAGGGAAAGAGTTTCACGCCCTCTTGAGGCTGAGCAGGGATGAAGGGAGTTGAGAGGGCCTGGCCCTCACCGGAGGACACCGTGTCCCCGGCGGCGGCTCACAGGGAAGGCGGCTGGAACGCGCCACTGACAGATGTTTACTTCTTGACGCAGCTGGGCAGCGACGGCAGCCCCCCACCTAGGGTTTGCGGGATCCAGACGCCTCCCAGGGCCCCTTATAGACCGTAAGGCAAAAGGGTTATCTGTTATCTGGGTCTTGTCCTCCTCATGGCTGGGAAGGAGATTCTGGCTGCCTCAGCTTTAAAGGCACTGCCCCCTTCTCAGACTCACACGCGGGGGGTCTAAGGAGGCAGGGGCACGCCCGCCCCGACGGGTAGGGGCACCCCTGCTGGAGCTGGGCTTGGAAAGCCGCTTAAGATTGTCCTCTCTACCCCCACCTCGTACCATGCGCAGACCTGTCGCCCAGTGATCCCACCCTCATGTGGCCTCCGGTTCTCGGGTCGAGGAGGGTAGCCACTGGTTTACTCGGAGACCCTAACAACACCCTAATCCTCTGTCCATGGGGCGGGCTGCCCCCCCGCAACGGCTCTCCAATTTGCCCTTGCTTACCTGCTCCGGGCACTGAACTACCCGTCAGTGGCGTCCGCGCCTGCCGCCCGCGCCAGCCCCAGCCCCTGCCCCT